TGAGGGCAGTAAGGGTCTATAGCAGTTTAATCGAAGGTACTTGATTGACTTTATCGACATTTTTTGAATCCGTGAGCAACAGTGCGCCTTGTGGTTATACGGGTTGAGAATTATTGGGTATGGGATTCTCTTTCTTTCTGTCTATTTTTTTTTCCTTTTTTTTCCACGTTCCTTCGTTACTAGTTTCTTTCGCATTGATCATTTTGTTCACTCATTCACTCGAGTCCCCGGTGAGCCACACGCGCACGGCGTTGTCCGTTTAAAAATATGGAACCAGTGTGACCAGAATGGTTGCTATGGAAGAGCTCCGGGTTGACCGGACCGTCAGAAATCTCGCACGCGTTCACCCACGTGGATGGCTTATATATATACATATGATATATATAGTGACGTAATACATATATAGAATTCACTGCATGTTATTCAAGTGTCATGGGCATCGATAACCCGAATTACAAAATTGATGGGAAATATAAAAAAAATTTGTTTCCACCATCGGTGACTGGTGTCAAAAAAGGGAGCAGCAATTTTTTTGGACTTTCGTATACGCTCTGTGGGTTTCCCTGACTTTGTGCACTATTTTCAGACTACCGTGTCACCTATGCCGAGGTACAAGTTATGCGCGATTTTTTTAAAAATATACATGACGTGGTACATATATCGATAAGCAAAGAAAAATGTAATCAAATAGTAAATAAGAATACTATGGTTTTGTTTCTATGCGAATAAAGTGTAAGTATTAATAGCCAAAAAGAAAATAGGAATTAAATAGCAGAAAATTATTTTTATAAACAAAACTCGTGGTGTTCGCGTGCGAGATACCGGCGCGTAGTCTCTTTTCATCAGTATCGTAAAAAAAATTATTAAATTAAAATTAAACAACGTCCTCGCGTCAGCTGCTACAGCAACGTCTATAAAATACCGTACGTCATTCGTTACCCTTTGACCTCACATTCATATCTCAACATTCATCCCTCATTCTCACAGTCATCACGTTACTCGCGCTTGCTCTCGCACACACCTAACAGGGTAACGAACGAGATTTCGAGCGACGACGCCAAAGAAAAAAATTCTATAATATCCGTATGTATAAAACTACGTAGTGTACGTGTGTCTGTGTATGTGTTTTATCTCACTCTCTCTTTAGGCCACCAAGTAAAAGTGTTGCGATTCGCCCAAGAAAAAGAAAGAAAAAAAAAGGGGGACTCCAAATCTCCCTCAGGTTATCTCTCTTCTTTTCTGGGCTATCGTACACGATTCTGTTCTCCCGTTTACGATTTCTCCATGTTTATCTCTTTCGCCTGTCCCCCCTCTCACGATTCACATCCCCGCTGTCATTTCCCTTCCCCCCCCCCCATTTTGATATATTCATTCTCCTCTACAATCGCGTTCCACGAAATAGCCAATAGTAGTAGTAATAGAAAAGAAAAAATTCGAAAAAAAATAAAATAAAATAAAATTACGTTACTATTCGATATTCTCTTGATTAGAAGACGAAGTAAAAAAAAAAAAAAAAAAAGTTGAGTAATTTGATAAGAACGATTCGATACGTATGGAAGATGAACAGAAGAGAAGCGAAAATAAAAACGAATCAGTGGATCTCCCCATTCTAGACCAGCTCCTGTTTGTAGATCTTCTCCTTGTGCATGCGTTCCATGTGGCGCGCGATGTGCATCTTCTGCTTGGCTCTGTAGACGCAATGGGGACATTGGAATTGTGGCTCCTTGCCACATTCCCACTTTTGATGATTCCTCAGGGAACTCTTGAGCTTGTAGACGCGACCGCATGCCGGACAATTGAATCCCTCGGGATTGCTGGTACCGCCGGTAAGACCCTTGCTCAGACTGGCTGTTGATCTCCACATGATGGAGGGTACGCTGCTCCAACGCTGCCAGGCTGCGGCCCACTTGAGCCCAGTGATGCTTAGGTCCTCGGCTGCTGGAACACATTCGTTCGGCTTTTATTGGCATAAATCAATAGGGTTTGTGGATATGGGTTTTGGATTTATTATTATTTTCTTTTCTATTTTCTTTTTTTTTTCTATTTTTTTTTTATCGAGGGGGGTGATGGGGAAGATTTCTTATCGCTAAGCAACATTCATTCTGGCTGCCTACTTTCATCCCCTCTATGCTATGGAGAGATTTCTAATATTTATCAATTTCTAGGTATATATATATATATATATGCGTGTGTGTATGCAACATATGGGTATGAATACATTTTACTGTCAGCTGCTAGAGCAATTTTTTTTTATCAAGGTCCCAGTCTTGAGCCTGTGTGAAGAATATTTAGGATTATTGTTTTTTTTTTTTTTTTTTTTTTTT